CGGTGATTCGAAACGTCCCGTGTGGGTGTGGACGCAGCGTAAAAGAGTTAGTAGTTTATTTTATTACTACCTGTGATTTATTGCAGGTTACTTGTATTTGCTTAATTGTTTACTAAATGTTTGAGGAGTGAAATAAACCGCAATGAAGCAAAATATGGGTGTGTGTGGTTGGAGGATGTGTGCGTGCGCGCGCGCCCGGGGGAGGCAGGCAACATTTTTCTTGTAAAACAAAGGGGGGCCTAGCAAAAACAGTTTGGGAACCGCTGTCATAAATGAAGGAGCTCCAGAGGAAGGTTGGTGTTTCTACAGTTTGAAGCTTTGCTGCCATCTAGTGCTTCCTATTACAATCACAGCTGTGATATCTCATCAGCTTCACTTTAAACACAAGACGAGCAAACAACTGAAAAATAACTAGAAAAACCTATAAAACTGGTACAAACAAAGTAGAAATCGAAAGTGGATGAAATCATTTTTTAAAATGAAGAAAACTCGAAGGAAAAAGACTTTTTCTGCATCAAGTAAGCAATACACACTAGGAAGAGGCCACCTCCAAAATAAAACTCCAAAATAAAAAGTCCTTTCTGAGCAAACATGAGTCTAATAAAAGTAAAAATCAAAGTAAATTTGTTGACATATTCAAAATACCTTTTTGAACTAAATTAATAAAATGAATTTAAAATATTAAATTAAAATGTCAACGACTAACAACTCGATATTTTAAAAACAAATTATTTTACGTAGTCAGAATGACAATTATTTCGAAAAATCTTAGCGGAAGTGTGTTGTTAGCTTGTTAGCTTGTGGTCGTTCAGGCTGTTGTTGTGGAGGGAAGCAGTTAGCTCCGTTTGCTCGTCCTGTGTTTGGAGGATAGTTAGCTGCTGGTTTTCGCTCTTTCGGAGTTTCCATAATGGCGTATCAGCTGTACAGGAACACGACGCTGGGAAACAGCCTGCAGGAGAGTCTGGACGAGCTTATACAGGTAACACTGCCCGCGAACACGGAACCAGTGCTGCCAGTTGGTGGCATTCAGCTCCCCGCTAGCCTGTTAGCCGGATGAGCTAACAGTAGCCTGCTAGCTGTACCATGTTTTAGACTCCAGAAAACAAGCAAAAAAGCAAGTTTTTACCAGAGAGGGGTTACAATTTTGCAGGTGTGAGCTTTAGGGGATGAATAAAAGCGAGGAGGTCAAAGTTCACAGACGTACAAGTTACTGTTCTGTAACAGTGATGAAGGTTCTGTTTACCTGGTTCAAGGGTGAGAAAGTCCTTTAATTAAACGAGTTGACGCTTCTTTTTCACGTCTGAACCTCACATCATGCTCTGACACTCGCCCTCTCAGGTGTGCCGCACTGTGGGAGAGTATAGTTTGTTCTTCAGGTGGTGAGAAATACGAGGAAACATCTGACTCTTTAACTACACGTAGACCAATCAGAGGAAAGTCCTGTGTG